AAAAAAGAGAGTTTATTTAATAAAAATTATCTATTTTTAACCAAACTTTTGAAGCTAATGAGAACGCTATACATTACAACAAGGTTGAACGCAAAATATCATAAACCAAGTGATATAAGCCAACATTAACTGGTCTTCATCTAAAGATGGTGATTCTATGCATACTGAAACATTGAAATTAAATACTCTGTAGTAGGTTCCATCTAGAGGAAAAAAACGGTTAATTCGAACAAGTACTGTTCCGTGTTAGAACATTTTAATGCAGTAATCGTCAAATCAAGAAAACGTTAGACAGCCTGGTTCTTTGGTGAGCAGGCAAAAATTGTTACAGAATAGAAATTCAATTTTCACTCAACTGCCGTATTCACCAGATAATAACTTTATGGTTACCATTTATTCGAGTTTTTATAGATTGCTTTAATAATAATAATAATAATAATAATAATAAATAAATGAAATTGAAGTCTGGAACACATTAGCGATGCCTGCAATCACCATGCTGTTTCAAGATTATTGATTGGTTCGTATTAGTCAATATGTTGAGTTTTCAACATCACTCGCAAAAAGTATTGGCGGGAACATAAGCTACTACAGGTTGTAAGGAATGATGTGGTTGCCATCCTCTGGAATTGCTGCGTTCAAACTGAAAGGGGAAATCCAAGTAGATCGACTAGACATAATTGTCAAGAATTATATTGATAATATGTCTTCCGATTGATGTTGCAGTAGCAACCGACAAAAACACACCCTTGAAAACTTTTGAGAACTAAATAAAATCAAGGAAAATAAAATAGAAATATTAGGGCATGATATCAAAAGAAACAAAGAAATACGTAGATCCCATCAACTGTCTTCAGTAGCATTCTACCTTGAGTAACAATTGGGCTTTGTATTGGGTGAAAAATAATAATATAAAAGATGACAAACAATTTTAAATTATTTTATTTTATTTTCTTAACTAACAAGTTGAAAAATATATTTTAATATAAACCGGGTTTCTTACGAGTTTTCCTATTCTAAATTGTTACGAAGTTACGGAATTTTAGGATAGCGTTGTTTGACTTTCAAACAATAGTTGACTAGTGACGAAATATCGGGCATTGCCAAATACCAGTTCAAACGATTTTTCATAAATGCATTAATGATTTTTTTAGATACCCTTTACTTTTTAAAGCTAGCCTCATATTACGAGCTCTGACTTAAATCTGAAATGTTGAGTCTATTTTGCTTTATTGAGTAATCAGTTCGAGTTTGAATTCCAGTCGAATCCATTACATTCACATACGTGCTAATACCCTTGGGAAAGGTATGAATCGTCTTCTCCCACCAGCTATAGGTAAATAGCAGGACACACCAGGTTCTGTAGACGTGGATGGCAACTGGTCTACCGCAAAAAGAAATGGCAACCTACTGCGGGAAAAAATATGCCTCGTCAGTCATGTATCGAAAGATACATGATCGCCTAAGCGCGTATCACGCATGGCACATAACTGACTGGGTAATCAGTGAAGTGGAAAAAGATTCCAGAAAATGTTTTTATCCCGGATCCCGATCTATTTGGTAATACATCAGAACGAATTATTAAACAATAAGTTGTTTCATAGACGACACTTATAAAACTAAGAAAATTGGGTGGTGGCGTGCTAATAGCAACTAAATAATCCACGCACAAAGCATAGAATTTCGGCTGACGCTGAAAAAGAAGATATTAATCTAAAGTGAATGTAGTCAAGAATTTTTCTCATCCGATTTTAAAGAATCTATTTATAGGGAAATCTTTTCAAAAAGTCAATTAAGTTAAAAATTGAACCTGTTTTTCTCATTTATTTATTTTTTACATTTCTAAGAATTATTATTAACGGGTGTCGAAATATATTTTCTGTTTGTATTTATGTAAAAATAATTAAAATACATCAGACTGTATTTCGGAAGCTAATATTCGTTATATCTCATTTTATTTGGAATGTATAACATTTCAATTAGAAAAAAGGCTCAAAATAAAAAGATAACAGAAATGTAAAAAAAAGAAATTCAATATTTGTAATCCAGAAATCGTTTGCTGCAAGAAACAACACCTGGAATTTATACCTCTTCTTTTATATGGCATACCCTTTCAGGAGAAGTATAATCATGGTTCTCAGTTTTGTGCTATAAGTAATTTATTACACTTTACCAGCCATTTTTGTCAACATAATTCCACCCATTCACCCAAAACAAATTCGAATATAAGTTGTTTTACTCTGATTCTTTACTTTTAATGCTAAATTCGATAAGCATTTTTTCCTCATGAGATGCACCAGAATTTTCATACACTCTCAATTAAAAAGGAGAGAACTTTCGCTCAAATGACATTCCTCTTATAAATATATAAGCAATAGTCAACACACTAACCTCACAAAATATTACTGCTATAGCAGATTTTCCATCTTTATTGTAGCCTTGCATCAGATATCCAAGGTGGCCAATCCTGTGTGAAATATTGTCATTCTTCGGTGAAAGAGATTAGTTTTCGAGCACATGTGAAAAAGTTTGGATTTCAAATGTTTATTTTTAATATAAGAAATAGGCCTGCCACGACCTCTCAAAATAATATATACATAAAGGATGCGATGGGTAAATTGTCGCCTTTTCATTTTTTTAATTTCGCGTATATGCATTGTTTGTTTTTATTTTGTCAACTGCACAGTATAATAGGGTTAGATGGGCACCGTCTGTGAGAAAAAAAATAGCACCATGAAGCAATTCAATTTTTGGAAAAGGTAGTGCTTCCCTGACTCAAGAGATTGACTGCTGGTAGACACTAGGCCTTGCAACAGGACACTGCACCATGCCATATAAACTTAAGAACACAGTCATGGCTCTCACACAATTGCTTCGACCACGTCACCTCTTACCTAATTCCCCAGACTGCATCCCCTTTGATTATTATGTGTGGAACGCAATTGGATGAGAGACCAACAAAACTCCATGTAACACCAAAGATGAACTGAAGACAAGGATTATGGCAACAATCACCAACTTAAACAAAGAAACCGCCCCAAAAAGTTGCAGGAGATCCCGAAGTCGTCTGGAGGTCTTCGTTGAAACCAATAGCGATTTTATTGAAGAAATTTACTCTTGTAATTCAAGATATTTTTGTGCAATTTTGGTAAATATATCTGTTAAAATGAGATATTAGTGATATTTTCAATTTTGCGTAATTTAGACGACAACTTATCTATCGCAACCTGTATATATTAAGCGTTCTACAATATTTGTCTGGCGTGTCCAGATTAAATTGAAGTCGAGGCCGTTGCGCTCGACCTCACACAAATGACTTTGTAAATGTATCCATCTCCTCTCTCCCTCAACAAGTGCTTAAGCAGAACAGAATAGGTTATCTAACTTTGGTTAGCAAAACCGGTTGAGCGTGTGGCTAGCAACTCTATTCCCTAGAAAAAAAAATACTTGCTACAGAAACTCCTACAGTGACACCTAGTGGTGTTAATTTGTGTTCTTTTTACTCCAGTTAATTATCTAAGACTTCAGTCTATCCAAAGCAGACCAGAGAACGTACTGACTAAAATGTAATGATCTAAACAAGGAATATGTAGATACTAAGACGAATAACTTATGACGTACTGATAACAGCATTATATCAGAAGTTCAAGCAATGTAGTGAGATCAGTTTCCATTCTTTGACCTTGTACCTGAATCATCAAAACTTCGTAAATATCAAACACGGTTTTAAAACCAATCACTTTAGAGTCAAGGTTTTTTTTCAGGTGCAATGGTAATGTATTGCAGTCGCTATTTCATTCTTTGGCTTTTTACTTGCCACATCTAAGCTTCTCAGATATCAGGAACGGTTTTACAAGTGGGCATTTGACTAAAAAAAAAAAAAAAATATTTGTGTGTAATGTCCAAAAATGAGTAATAGACGGTCAGTAAAGATTAAGAATATAACCTTTTTACTTTTTCCATTATATTTACCAGCCACAAGTTTTCTGCCTAGGAAAGGCGACCGTAGATACTACTCTTTTGGTACTTTGCTGACCAGGGACCTGTACAATCAGAAGTTATCTTCTGCGAAACAATGGATCACTTTTATCACTTATGTGGAGAGAGATGGATTCAGGGTCGTGTGTTAACAGAAAGCAGTGCATCTGTGAATAGGCAAATGTTTAAAAGATCAAATTTGAGGACCGCAGACGAAAGTGAATCCACGCGTACCTCTTTACTAAATAAAATTAATATTCTTTATGCGCTTATTGTGCATTTCCAGTGATTGCGGTTGTTTTTTTCGGGATGTATATGATTGTAATCAAGCGTATCTACGCTTGTATGTGTATTCCTCCTTGTTCTCTTGGTTTGTGTCCTCGCAGTTAAAGTGGGTGCATTCCAGAGAATAGATTCGATTGTGCCTTTAAGTGCATGTCCTATGAATGTTTCTTTATCTGCTATCTTTTCTTGTAACAGATTCTGTCACAAGGAAGTTGGTTTGAAGGATGCTTACTCCAAAGAATTCTTTTCCTGTTTTGTCCTTGTTCCAAGGAAGTGATCGGAATGGATAAAAGAGATATTGATTTAAGGGATACGAACCTAAGAAAGTGTTAGCAAATACTATTTAGAAAGGGTTAAGGTTGAGCTACTTGGTAAACCCCTGATTTGCATTTGATTTTCTTTTGTCAAATCAGGAAGTAAAACTAGTTCCATTTACGCTTTTGATTAGCGGTACATCGCTTCTTCTTCTCTTTTTCTTTCACTAAAAATATGTTCCGGTAAATCTTATAAATTTAATTTTCTTTCTTTTTTTCTTTTTTCTCTGTGGATTTTTTCTTTGTTTTTTTTTTTTAAATATATTTTACTTTTTATTTTTTATATTTGCATATTTTGCATTTCTTGTTTCCTATTTCTTCTACATTAGCTGTGTGCAAATGTTTTCAGCGCTTAAAAATCTTCGACATTAAATGCACTGTATAAAAATATAGATTTTGTTAATCCTAACATTGTTTATTTAAATGCGTAACCGGAAGTTACTTTTCAATTCCACGCCAAAACGAACCTTTCAACGATACTCCTTCCAGGAAAGTACAGTGCAAAGCAGTCGTTATGCATCCTCACTACCAGTACTTAAATATGCTTTTAAAATCTACAATAACTGTCTGGTAAAACTATCTTTCGTTTGTATTCTTTGTTTTTCTCGTATTTGTTTTCATTTCGCTCTTTTCGCTTTTTGTTTTCATCTTCTCTTTTCGATCTTTCTCTATCGGTCTTTTTCTATGTCTATCTTTTCTTTACTCAAACCTGGTTACGCTTTTACTGTTTCTTTCTCTTCGACTCTTTATCTATTTATCACCTCTTATTTGAATTTCTCACTTCTCTTCAGCTCACAGTCACTTTCTTTTTATTTTTTGTATTCCTATCACTTCATTCTTAATTTTAAGTCCATCCCTTTTATTCCTCATCATCGTCTGGACGTAGCGCCACTGAAAACCGGAAGTGAACAAATGGACCGATATTCAAATAAAAATTGCCGCGATTTCCATTTTGTTATGACCCAGCTTTCTCCGCCTCTCTTCCTATTTCTTATTCAAGTGCCTATACACTGATTTAGTTTTGTCATTTCAATTCATTTGTTCAAATCCTTTCCCTTCCTAAATCTTGCACGTACCACCGTCCAAAATCCCGCCATCATTAACTCAATCACTAACAATAACACAATTTGCAGACACTCGACCAATCAGAAGACAGCGTTCTGGTAACACAACTTCCAGTTCTACTCTCATCATCGACCTGCGAGAACTGGTTCATCTGTTAAGTATAATTAGCATTTCCTAGGTGCTAATCATTTGGTTAAAAGCCAATTTAAAGGGGATAGAAATAGTCCGCTAGTCTTCTACGATTCAAGTCAGTATCTAGACAACTATAGATAGCTCTTAAAAGCCTTCCTTAACGGATGTCAACAAGAATCGCGAACTTCATCGAACGGAAATCATTAAAAGATTATGAAGCGATAATCTGCTCGCCGCTTTGCGAGTTAATAGAATGCTCAGTGAACTCTACGTCTCTTTTCATTTCCTCGGTCTGTATATTCTTATTTTTAATTATTAATTTTTGACGAGTATTTCTTTCAACTTAATTGCAATTGCTTTTTTCTTTTAACTCACAAACGATCAATCCAGACGTTGGATTTGAAAAGAAAATATAGCCAACTTCTAACGAGGTTCTAACAAGCGTTCTTTACCGTTTGTCTTGCCGTTTAGGATACGGAAGCTACCAATTCTTCCAATCTAACTATATAACTTTTAATTCATTCTCTTTTTAAAATTTCGTTTTCTACTCAAACAAGATTCTTCCAAAATGTATTTCTTTTCATTAGCTATAGTTTCTGGGTTTCCAAACATTTTGAACCTCCTGCCTCTTTACGTTTTTTCAGTGTACTCTCCAGATTCCCAACACCACTTGGTACATCCTTTTTTCTTTCTCTAAAAGGAAATGTCTCTCTTGTCTCTCACACATGGTTCTTCCTTTCTCCTTCATTCCGAGTGTAGTACTACCACTATACTTGCAGGTAGACACGCCGGAGGGAACTTTGGAAGGTCCTGAAAATACGCCATTTTCTCCAGTCAAACACATTCTAAACAATGACATCACTTTTGTTTGTTATTGCGATTATTTTTAGGACTTTATCCACTCCTTGCTGTTCGTGCCGAGGGCTTTTTCTCGAGCTTCTTCTTGTTTTTTCTTTCTTTTTCCTTTTTTTTTTCATCTTTTAACAATATTGTCATTTTTTCGCTTAATTTTATCTTCTAAATATTTTTATTTAATCTTTTTTCTCTTTTTGCGTCTTACTTATCCTCATCTTCTTTTTTTATGTATTTTGATCCGCCTCTCTCTGTCTCTCTCTCTCTCTCTTATATTTCCCCATCTTGTGCTTTATTCTTTCTCTTTTCATTCTTTCTTCTTCATCATCTGTTTTACTGAGTACTTCTTCTGACTCTCTCTCCCCCTCTCTCCCCCCCTCTCTCTCTCTCTCCCCCCTCTCTCTCTCTGTTGCTTATTCTTTCTCCATTACTTCTTTGTCTTTTTCGGTACT